CGCAACCAAGCTCAGGAGGAGCTCGATGAAGATCTTGTCCCTTGTGTTGTTTCGTTCTAGCTGATCAGTAGTGGAGCCTAGTTGGGGTCGATCGGGGACCTTTGTCACATTTGCGGTTCTTCTTTTATTTTGGTTCCGTAGTCGGACCCTGATTGTATTTGGATGTTGTAATGCTTTATTCATGTAATTGTTTGAAGTGGCGATTGTAAGCCAACTATGTATCTTTTCCCCTATTGTATTACATGGGTTGTTTGCGAAGATTACCTCACTTGCGACATTGCTTTCAATGCGGTTATGCCTCTAAGTCGTGCTTCGACACGTGGGAGATATAGCCGCATCGAGGGCGTTACATCACGCATTACCGGAGGGGCAACAAGGATGATGAAAAACCCCTCCATGATCGTTTCCACCTCCGGCAGAGTGCCGGAGACGGCCTCTGGATTAGATCTTGTGGTTCTGAAACTTGCAGCGGCGGAAAAAGTATTTCGTGGACTCCCTGGTGGGTTTTGGGATTTTAGAGTATTCATAGAGGCAGAGGTAGGTCAAACGGAGGCTTGTGGGCCCCACTACCCACCAGGGCGCACCAGAGGCCCTGGTGCTTAGTGGGACACTCCTCATCTTCTCGTGGCCTCCAGAAGCTTCCAGGGTCTCTTATTGTCAGAAAAAAATCTTCAAAAAGTTTCGTGGCATTTGGAATTTGTTTGATACTAATATTCTGCAAAGTCAAAAACAAGCAACAAAACAACAACTGACACTGGACACTAAGTTAATAGGTTAGTCCCCAAAAAATGATATAAAGTTACTTGTAAATGTATATAAAACATCCAAGATTGATAATATAATAGCATGAAACAATAAAAAATTATAGATACATTGGAAACGCATCAGCACATGCGATGCACCCGCTTGCGCCGACTGTAGCAATGCACACGCCCTCTGGCCGGTGGACTGTGGGTGCGTGCCCAGGGTCACCATCATTGGGCGCGGACACATGAACGAGATGAGAAAGACAACACACTTTGGGTCTTTGGCCCTCCTCCAAGCACGTGAGTGACTCTTCGATTTGCTTCTTCACCTCATGGGGTATGAGATTCTTATCCCCTTGTCGCATCCTCTCGCACACATGCAATTCTGTTGTTTTGTGTATGGAGTATGGACCCTAGAGTTGTGTGGAGCAGTTCGTATCATGATGGAATTCTGCTGTCAAGGTCGCCATATCGAATGAATCAAAGGATAGCATGACAATTGCTGACGTTATACACAGCCACCGTCATTCGTCATGTGTCCTCCCTCTCATGTCTCTTGCATGGTAGGGATGTAAATAGCAAATAAACGGTGCTCACAAGTCCCATTTAGTTAGTTTTAGCTAGCTCGATAGCTCATTTCCCCCGAAAAAGAAACTTTATTGAATCGTTAGACCATAAGCGGGCTTAAACGGGACCTGGTTTACATCCCTATTGCACGGACAGAATGACCTGGGCAGTAGATCATACGACTAGCAGTGGATATAGTGGTGTTAGAGCAAAACGAGTTGATTGAGGGAGTCTGGAATGGCGTTCCGTGGAGTGTCGTCATGAGAATGGCGAAGCTGGTTGAGTTATAATACTCTCGATGCTACCTGTAAAGAACACATGTAATTTTGTTTGAGAGCCAATCATGGGTGCATTGCCAATTTAATAATATAGGCAAATCTAGTGTTATTCAACGTAATATGGTAATATAGCTAAATTTGCCTAACATGCATCTTTCTTCAAGTTGCTCTTGCACGAATCTTTTGGGAGTAAATTTGTGAGCTTCAGATCCTGACATCTAAATTCTTCTAGAACTATGTATCTCATAGCTAGAGTGGAATTGTTCATGAGATGTGTGTATCCACTTGAGACTTGAGAGCGAAATTTCCAATCTTAAAAAGCTCAACTTTTGTCATCAGCATCTTACAACTGTAAGTGTATATTTTGTTTATATTTCTATGCCAATACTGTTATTTGGATTTTTTTTAATTTCCTTTGAAGTAACTATACCTTTTTGGTGCTATTATGCCGAACTTTCTTGGACTATTGAAGGTCTTCAGTAACACTATGTTTTGTCCAGAAGGCCAGCCACACCATCCATGTGCATAATGCAGAGCAGCTTGCAGTTTTTTAGAATGTGCTTCTTGAATAATTTGTGAAGAGGTTAGTATTTCAGCGCAATATGTTCATCTGTGCATTATCATGACGCTCACTCCAACGTGAAGATGCGCTTTTGCAAAATGGTGAAGTATATGCATTGTGAAAGGATAATATGATGCATCACGGTTGATCTTTGCTTGAACAAATGGACCTTTAATAGTGTTTTAGTTGATACATAATCAAGAAACTTCCCTATTCTTAAACATAAAGAGTTTAGTGTTCAGATTGTCATGGACATCAATAATTCTATACATGTTAATTGGATTAACTCCTTTTATAAACATTATTCAGTTTTATCTAGGCATGTTTCCAAACACTTTAGCTTTTATGCCAAAATGTGGAGCATGAAGACAACATACTCATGGACGCAGGCTAGCGGTCACCCTGAAGTTGAAGGCAAAAGAGGTGGCGCCAAACATCACGGAGAGGCAGCACGCTCGAGCCAATGAAGAGCTCCAAGACAGTGGTGCAGGGAATCAAGGAAAACACATTAAGAGGATGCTTGGATTGTGACTATCTTTGCCCTATATTGTCACATTATTTTTTGCCACACTTGAGACATTTGTCTTACTTGAGTTGTTCAAATTGCTAGCCACACTTTGTCTTGCCTAAGGGAATTTTATCACATTTTTTGTGTCTATGACATGTGGGGTTCACTGTTCATTAAAAAAAATTATTGCCATAGTTGTGGCTAAAGCCAAACACCCACCTAACTTGGTCAACTTGGCTAAGGTGAGGTGTGGTAAGAGTAAATTGCTCAAAACCACCACATTTGTGGCTAGAGTACTCCAAAATCACCGTTTTCAAAAATCACAAAAGACCACCACTTCCGCGCCAAGTGAATAACAAAATGCACTAATTCGAAACTGAGTCGTGTCTAACAACGAAACTGACGAGTGGGGCCTGTTTGTTGGGTTGATCTGGCGAGTGGAACCACAAATGAAGTTTGACCTCCTTGTGGTTCCCGAAGGCACCCACATATGTCCTCCCAAATATTGATGGTCATACAACTAGATGATACCCCGTGCATTGCTGCGGTAACTTTGTGAAAAATGCGTAAATAGTTGCTAAAAAATAACTAAATCTAACGAAAAGAAAATATAAGCTTGAAAAATCAATAAAATAAACTTTTGTATTACTGTTAAAAATATCACTTCGAACAAAATGTGAATGATGACTAAGATGCATGTATGATGCGATAATGTTACATGCATAGCCTAATACAAAAATAATTGTAATTTATAAGCTCGCTTATGTGGCAGATTTTGCATGGCTTAGTGGGAGAGAAGACTTAAATGCACGGTCTTAGTGGGACGTTCGTATATGTGGCAGATTTTGCATGACTTAATGGGAGAGAGGACTTAAATGTCTGGCCATAGTGGGGACGTTGAGGTGAACACTTTGCATGTTGAGAGAACACTTTGCATGATTTTAAAACTCCAATCACAATTGATAAATTTCTCCAACTTCTAAATTTGTGGGAGGCCATTTAGGAGGTCCAAATTGACCATGATCATGCTGACATGTGGAAATGGTCCCTCGAGTCATCTGGTCATTTCCCCTCTAAGTCGGCATACATGTCTTTCTTTGAGGGGCTTCCTGTTTGCACCTTGGCCAATGCTATTTGGAAATCTTGGGCCCCCCTTCGTTGCAAAATTTTCATTTGGTCGGCTGCCCGTAAGAGGATTTGGACTGCAGATCGATGTGCGAAACATGGGCTTCCACATAATGACTCATGTGTTTTCTGCCACAACCATTTTGAAGACGTTGATCACCTTCTTACTGGTTGTGTGGTCGTTAATATCCTTTGGAACAGTCTTAAACTGGCTCGGTCTTTTGGTTGTGGCTTCTTCAATCGGCAGTACCTTCTTTGAATGGTGGACCTTGGCAAGGGATGGTGTCTTGGCGCAAGACAAGAAGAGGCTCAATTCTGCTATCATGTTGGTCGCTTGGTCCGTTTGGAAAGAGCGTAATAAGAGAGTGTTTGAGGACAAGTCGGTCCTGATGGACGCCTTGGTGAACCTCATCAAGGGTGATGCTTTTGAATGGTTTAAGGCAGGGGCTAGGTGCTTTGGATCCTTGTTTGTATAACTCTGTGTTGCCCCTTGTCTTCATCTTGTTTTGGTCGCTTTTCTGTATGTTGCTTAGGACCTGGTACTTGTTTCTTTTTCTTCTATAATGATCACATGCAGTTCTCCTGCATGGTTCGAAAAAAAAAAAGAATTGAGACCAACTTTTTAAGAATGTAAGAATACCAATACGGTAGATGAGCTCTCCCTTGATAAGACCACTACTTTCAAAATAGTCCGTCAAGTGTATGAAATCCCATCATATGATGGGACAAAGATGAAAGTTTACACCCGGAAATATGTTCCATTCATTAAAAGAGCACATAATTGTTCAAGATACTCTGTATTACTTTCGAGAGAAATGTATGTATCCCAGTTTTCGGTACTGGTATATTTTGTTGAATTGTCTTATTTTTTGGTACCAAAGTAGAGGTTCAATTTATTTTTTACAATAAGTAGTTCATCTTGAATTTGTTTTGAGGAAAACGTGTAAATTCACTTTTTTTAGGCGACGCGGCAAACCACGGGTTCCAATCCGAGCTCGATTTCGACTCCCACTCGTCGTCATCGACCGGAGCCGAAAAAGAAGGGAATTAAGCTTGGCCTTTATAATACCCAGACAACATCTGTTCCAGCACCCCGCAAATTGGAAGCCTAAATTCTCCCCTAAATTTCTCGGCGAGGTCGGTTAGTCGAGGCGAATCGCGGGAGGTCGACGGCCGGTGAGGAAGTTTCGGCCAAGCAGCAAGCCACCAGACGCATGGCGGTCAAGGCAGCTGTGACCGCCGGCGATGGGTGTGTGCTGAAGCATGGTCAAGATCTGAAGGAGAAGAACGGGACCAAAAGGAAAGCAGAGGAGGCGCCGGAAGGCGACGAATCTCCACTGAAGGTCTGCTCCATCAGAAGGAAAGCAGCCGGGATCGACTGCTCTGAGCTTGAGCAGGGAGCAACACCGGCGGCGGCGGCGAGAAAGATGACGAGGCTGCCGCAGGAGGAGGTGGATTCCATCCTCGCCGAGGAGATGGACGACGACCGTCTCCCTCCCGAGTACAAGGCCCTGAAGCGCCACAACCCTGACCTGATTCCTTCGCCGGAAGAGGAGATGGACGAGGACGTGGTGAGCTTCTACGACGTCGTGCGCGAGTTCTACGAGATTGGAGAGGATTTCAGGGAGTTCCAGGCCTGGGTCCGCGCCGAGTACGCCAAGAACGGCTACGTCGAGGTGGATGATGAGTACCTGCGCCATCAGAAGGAGATGGAAGCAATGAACGAAGAAGCACGCAAGGAGGCACTCAAAGGCTTCGATTTTTCAGGCTTGCTCGACTTGTAACTTGGTGCAGCATCAGCACCAGTCTGTGATGATTGTAGATAGATTTCACTCTTTCTCCGGTACTATCATCCATCGACTGTATTATTAGGCAACCAATGTAATAAGAATTCACTTTGTCGAGCAATCGGTTCTCTTCTTACATTGACAAAAGGGCGTTTTGTTTCAAATTCAGGAGTGTTCCTTCTGATGCGTATCATGTGTACTATCCGGCCAAATTAGCCTCTCTGTCTAATGTTGTGTAAAGACCTGGATGTATCAGATTCCTCAACCTTTATATGACTCTGTTCAGCTTCACACTCATGCTTTCTCGCTTGCAATGACTGGCCTGTTCATACTAACTAGTACTCCCTCCGTTCGGAATTACTTGTCTCGGTTATGGATGTATCTAGAACTAAAATACATCTAGATACATCCATTTCTGCGACAAGTAATTCCGAACGGAGGAAGTAACAATCATGATACCTGTGATGATTTTAGATCGATCTCAGTCTCTTCAGTCTCATCCATCGACTGTATTTATGACTGTAGTAAGCTAAGCACCAGCAAACGTCTTGTGTAATAAACAAGAACTCACTTTGTTTGCCATGAGCATCCGGCTCCCATTCTTACACATTGGTTGTATTGCCGAAACTGGAGTTCTTGTGCTCTCGATCACCTCATTTATCTGTCACGTTTGTGAGAGGTATGAGAGGATGCAAAGTTTCAGACTTTCCACTTTCTATTTTACAAACTCGTTTTTATATTTTTGCTATGAAAACGAAACTTTCCACAATGTTCAGCTTCAGTACAACAATGTGGTTAGGGGCATACAAATCAAACGTCGCAATGTAATGACATCTTCAGAAACTTGCCATAATGTGTTGAACTGTTGTCGACAGATCTTGCAAGCTTTCTGTATTATTTGATTGCTTTTATACAGCTTTTGGTATTCAAATGAAAGGAAGTCTAGTGGTCCTGTTGTTAAGCTCATAGGAGCAAAGGGGGACGACAACGGCACTTGTTTTTGAGTTTGCTATTTCAAGAAAACGTTCGTGCGAACATGCAAAGAACCAAATGATAGAGAGAACGGCAACTCAGATTCGCCATGTTGGGAGCCTCCTTATCCATATGGCGGCCTCCATAATCTGCTACCGGCACGCCAACCAAACTGGCTGAACAAAACTCGTGCACCCGTTTCCAGACGATTGCACCCAGAGGCGAGTCTTTGTGTGTGTCAGTGTGTCTTCGCGATGGAGACATCATTAATAGTCAACATCCACTGAAACATATCTGTTGTCTGAGTTAGATTGATCGACGTCACCTACTAACTAAATGGATCGACTTAGTCTATTTGTCGCCAAGTAAAGCTCTGCAGAATTGAATATTCAGTGGGACAGCCCCCACTGAAACAAATTTCTGCTATTTGGGGTTATATATGGGTCCATTTTGTTGTGCTTACATCTTTTACCATCATCCAAAGAAAATGTGATTGCAAGAAAATGGTTCGGCTACATCATTCAAGAATGACACATTTCTAATATTTTTTCACTTCATCGTTGGTCGAGCCTTCAACTAAACACGCTAGACTTTCACATGATGACAGTACTAATATATTCCGTTCATGGCTTCTCTACACAAAACTTAGAACTGGCAAATCATATTCAACATGTCGTGTAAACAGAAGGGAAAACTAAAGTTGTATAAAATTCAAGTATTCGAAATGATATACTTGCAGTAGAAGTAGTCAGACAAATTATGTCTTGAACACCTTATACCATGTACTCGGCAACATAACTTTATTTCTCTTGTACATAACCCAATATTTAACTGTACAACATACATATGTAACAATATTCTGGTAATTCAAATGTATGATCGGCAAATATTTCATGACATCATGCTAAATCTCCATGGCTTTTGAACATTTGAGTCCATATCCAAAAGGAAATAATGGATCATAATTAGCACCTCCAATATTTATAGGCAGCTGGTCGTCATATCTAAACCAAGTTACAGGCAACGTGCCCACAAAATCATGGTCTCCAAAGAGGCAATCAGCAACTCCCATGCCCTCACTTCCGGGCAGCCAAGCGGCAACTAGAGCATCTACCTTCTCAAGTACTTGCGGCTCAATAACCAAGGGCCTTCCAGATATAACAATCACTAGGGTAGGGACTTTATTGGCAACACGAGTAATAAGATCGGAACCATTGAATGGAATACTGAGGTCGGTTCTATCCCCCAAGCTTTCTGCATAGGGTACCTCACCAATTACGACAACTGCATAAGAAAATTTGCCTGCTTCAATGGTAGCATCTATTGGGCATTCATCATACACAACTTCAGTTTCCACTTCCACAGATTGTTGTATGGCCTCTAATATGCTTGTACCTGTTGGTTTTGATAGCTTGATTAGCTTCTACATCACAGTACGGATTAAACTAGAACACATTTTTAATAAATAAAATGAAACAATTCCGAAACAACCACTACACAATATGTTCCAACGCAAAGAACTTACACTTCAATTTCTAAATAACAATTTCACATTTGTGTATGCAACATGGCACTTGAAAATGGGTCATAATTTATCCTTAACTACTAATCATCCAACCTAGAATTTCCAAAGAAAATGATTTTTATAGCAGGAAACAAGTAACTGTAAGTGTCCCCTCAAATGAAAGGTCGTGTTTAATATATTCCCCTGGAGTTAAAATTATTTGCTTACCCGGAGTAATCTTTCCACTATCACCATGCCAAGATATTGTCCACCCACCGCACTGGTATCCAACATTGTCAGCATGTGTCCCTGTGACGAGTATTCTTGTTGCATTCTTGGCTAAGGGGAGGAAAGGTTCCTTCCGATTCTTGCCATTTTTCAAAAGCACCAAAGACTTTCGAACAGCCTCACGTGCTAGCAGACGATGCTCCTGACGCATGCATGTCGTATACGGTGAGTGATATATTGTGTCACATAGTTAATCCAAAGAGAATTATAACCTCGTCCGCGCATTGTATATGATGAGTGATGTCTAGTGTGAGAAGAATTGACAACAACAACAACATAATCATAGATGGGGGAAAATGCACTTTTACCTTGCAACCAATTACGTTGAGTAGAGCTGGATCTGAAAACGGATGCTCAAAAACTCCAGATACGAACTTAACTCTTAGAATCCTCTCAACGGCGTCATCAATTCGTGATAAAGGTATCTCCCCCGTCTCCACCAAGAACACAAGATCTTCCAAGAATTTCTCAAATCTGAAAGGTATCATAACCTGTAGATTGCTCAACAAATGCAAAACAAGAGGTTTTTGCATAATATATGTTGTAATAGCCATTTATTGAAGAATACCATATCCATTCCAGCATTTACTGCTTGGGCAATGCAATGTCGATAATCCGACCCTCGAGGCTCGCAAAGATGGTCAATACCTTCCCAGTCCGACACCACAAAGCCCTGTGAAACAAGAGCTTGCACATGTTGTCATGCTCACTGTTCACAACCAAAGCTAGCATCAATCTATCGACTAATCAAACACCATAGTCTCAGTTACCTGGAAGCCTAACTTGCCCTTTAAAACATCGGTGAGCAAATGGTGGCTGGCATGTAACGGCTCCCCATTCCATTGAGAGAAGGATGCCATGACCGTTGCCACCCCTTGACTTATACAATCAGGGTAAGGTTTCATGTGGATCCTTTCCAAATCGTCCAGAGAGCAAATGGTGTTCCCTTCATTGATCCCCTTGTGAGTGCCACCATCCCCTACATAATGCTTGGCACATGCAAGCACATTCTCCCTGCATATCACAAAGGAGGGGGCCTGTTTCTACTAATAGGTTTGTCGGCATATGCAAAAATAAATGTTTTTTTAGAAGTAGCTCTAGTGGTTATGCAAAAATAAATGTATTGTGCAACTTTTATAAGCTTGACCGAAAATGTCAACCGCGAGCCCAGACTAGCGCAGCCCAAAAAATATAAATGATAACATATTTATTTATTTTAATTATCTTTATAATTAAAAAAATTATTATACCTATTTTTATTGAAATATGTATATTAGATTTTATTAGGTACAGGCTTTTTTGGATTTTGGTACTGGGCTTCACGCAGAAAACTGGAGCCCAAGCCGGCTGAAGCTCTGGGCTTCGGGTTTGGGCCGTCGGGTTGGGCTGCCCATGCCTAGGCTTACTCAATCCTCTCCGGGGTTTGAAATTTCAACGTGCTTCAGCTAAAACTTTCAGGCTAGATTCAAACGAAAATGAAGTTAGATAATTAAAAATGATTTACGCAATAAAATCCAGTGAATTGTGATGGGAATACTTGCAGGACAGTTTTCGAATATTTTCTGATTCAAACCGTACCTAACGGAATGGAGGAACGGGTAGCCATGGGGGTGGTCTGCCGGTGGCTGGCCCTGCAGGCCGGCGACGATGGTGGTGAAGGAGCGCACCATCTCCGGGTCCTCGCTGTAGCTCTCGTAGCATCTCCCCCACCTCGAATCCCTACAAACCTATGCATACATCACATCACCCACCACCACACATCAGTCTACGTACTATTTTCTTGCAGCTCAAGGGACGGCCGGAACCGGAAGGTTTGTGAGCTTGACTCACGGCGACGCAGGGGGCGAAGGTCCAGTGCATGCCGGTGGCGCGAACCTCGAGCGCCGTCGCCTCGCCGATCTTCCGCACAAGCTCGGCATCCCTGGAGGCTCCGAGGCCGACGCTGTGGGGGAAGATGGTGGCGCCGACGACGTTGTTGTTGCCGTGGACGGCGTCGATGCCGTAGATGATGGGGACGGCGAGGCGGGACGAGAGCGCGAGGCGCTGCATGCCGTCGACCACGCCGGCCCAGTCGGACGGGGAGGCGCCATCGAAGGGCGGCCTGCCGCCGCCGTTGAGGAGGCTGCCGACGCCGAGCTCCGCGAGGGCGCGGGGCGACGCCACGGAGAGCTCGACCTGGGCCATCTGCCCCGCCTTCTCCCGCAGCGTCATGCGGCCCAGCAGGTCGCGCACGCGCGCCTCCACCGGCGCCGACGCGTCCTTGTACAGCGGCCGCTCCTCGCCTTGGCCTTGCGCTGCCGCCATGCCGGACGGTGAGTATTGCTTTTGTTCCGGGCACCTGGGAATGACAGCCAAAGTAGCAGCTAGTATTGATTTTGCCGTGCCAATCTCGGTGGGTTTACCTTGTATATGTACTCAACTAATCATCAAGCACGCTCACAATACCCGATTAAAGAAGTACTCCACGAGTTATCAGATAATGTGAGGATAATATGAGCTGATGCATCAAGATGGCAACGTGGCAATGGGGAGAAACCTGGCCGGCGGTATTGCTCTTTCATACCCGTCACAGTGAGTCCGTGACACAATCCCGGCCCGCTACCCGCACCCCATTACCTGACAACATACACAGAGTGTTGAGTTCAACCCAAGGATCGCTCACGTCAAAATATAATGAGCACACACGGTGATCTTTTTCCGGTCTCGCTAGGTCTTGGTCGATTGAGACTTTTTATGTCTCAGTCAATATTATATTCGTGAGATTTTATATAGAGATCCATGCCATAATTTTCTTTAGCTTTTTTTTCTGTGTGTTATATCACTTGATTGAGACTTAGTTGCCTCTTAATCGACTAAAACCTAGATACCCTTTTTTAGTCAAGGCCTTGTATCGTGTTTTTTTCTTTTCTTTTCTTTGTTTCTCAATTTTCCGGAGCATCAAACACCTCGGGCTAGCAAGCCGACTCGAAGTGAACTTCCTGACACAACACTGACTCAAACACCTCTCTTGAAAAAAAAACACTGACTCCAACACGTACGGACCGGTCCTACTAATACCCCAACGTAGACTAACTTGCTAGGAAACTCATCGTCACTTGCATCCATACATGTAGTACTAGGCCCTTCCGAATGCTTCGAGGTGTATCAGTGCTAAGAGTGCCACATAGGCAAAAAAATGATATGGTAGAGCAATTAATGATGGTGACCCCAGAAGGAAACGATGTTAAGCGTGTGATCCTATGCAAAGTGAGCATCAACCATTGCATGAAGGTCTTTTGGTGTTAAAACATTAAATGAGGAAGGCTTCGGGCGATTTTCGTTTGTCATGAAAAATTATGGAATCAAAGTTTCTCGGATGCACAAGGTGCATATTTTTTTTCATATTGTTTGGACATTCCAGGTGCTCACGAGAAAGAAAAAATTGTAAATATGTACGTTGGTGAACAGTAAATTAAAAAATAGCAAAAAATATGAATTTTTTTGGCATCAAAGATGCATGGGTGTGCAAGATGCGTGCATATTTTCGTGCTCAAATGACATAGGAGGAGCTCTGGCCAAAAAAAATAGTGCACCTTTTCAAAGTTTCTTTCCCAGCCAATTATTTTTTTTGCCACGAGCTCCCACAATGTCTAAACACCATGAAATTTTGCAGACACATTGAGCACCCGAGCATCTTGTATGTCAACATTTTTCTTTTTTTTTGGAATTTTTTTCTATTTTTTTCGAATTTACTGTTCACCAGCGTACATATTTATGGCTCTTCCGTTGTCACAAGCTCCTGGAATGTCTAAATAGAAAGAAAAAAAGCACGCACCTTGTGCACCCGAGGAACTTTGATCCCACAAATTTCCAGATGTTTTTGACATTTTTTAATTTACTGTTTGTCGGTTTATTGTTTATGTGGACGAAAACCGCCCGAAGCGGCGTGAGGGATGAAAACTATCCGGTTTTGATAACTGAGGGACGAAAACTATCCGATTTTGAGTTGACGGATGATTTCTAAATTTTCGAAAGAGTTTGAGAACGAGAAAAATACTTATCGCAATTAAGATTATACTAACACAGAGGATGTCGACGACGGGGAGCTCAACGCGCCACATTGCGCCGGGCTGGTGAGGTGCCTGCGATGCGGTAGTCGACGGGGAGTCTGGGATACCGCTGCCACCGTAATGCGTAGGGCGGGCCAGGCGCGAGCGGCAAGCAGCCGGTGAGGTGTTTGAGGCGGCGCCACGCCGGGCATGGTGGGTCGACGCCTCAATGTGGATAGGGAAATGGATTATCAGCGGTTGGGAAGGGGATGCTGGAGCACCGTCGTCTACAGCGGCAGGCGGTGAGCTGCCGGGGATGGGCTAGCAAGCGGCTGCGTGCAGTGGTGTGGGTGCTTGTCTCGTGGAGAAGATAGGGAGTTCAAGAGGAGAAGAGAGAGCGGTAGAGGTTGGCGGCTGGGTCTGGGAGGGACCGAGTAAGAGGATGGATAAGGTTATTGTTTGAACCGTGGGACTTGGGCCGTGCTTCAAGTTGAATCGTGTTGCCGGTCGTGGAAAAGGCAGGGCCGCCATACAAGGGAACTGCTCGTAACTTCTGATTATTATTGTGTGTGTTTTGCGGGTATTATTGTGTTTATTTGTCTTTTCAGTTTAATTTTTGCCTTTTCTATTTGATTAAACACGGAAATTATTAAGAAATGTACTATCTTTGAAAAATATACACAAACATTTACGAAAAACATGTGAACAATTTACATGAATTTTTTTATAAATACGGAAACCCTTTTTGGTTAAATGAAACTTTTCAAATATGCACTGAACAATTTTTGATACATGATAGAAAATAATGAAATTTTTTATTGTGTGTTGAAGAACAATATTTTAATCTGCAATCAATATATTTTAGTACACAATGAACCTTTTTGATAAACATGATGAATAGTTTTTTAATACATGATGCAAAAAATTCATTACTACATGGACATTATTCAAGTACAAGATGAACATTTTCTAATATAGGGTAAATATAATTTTAATACATGATGAACCTTATTGCATGATGAGTAGTTTTTTAATATGTAGCGAACTTCTGTTAGTACATGATAAATGTTTTCATATTGCACAATGAACAGAGTTTAAATATATGCTGAACGATTTTTAATACATGGTTTTATATACATGATGAGCATTTTTTTTACTACAGGACTCACATTTTAAAATACTAGATGAACTTTTTTGTAAAATACATGGTAAACTTTTAAAAATATGCTTTCAACATTTTTAGTAGACGGTTAACATGTCTGAAATACAGTATTAATTTTTTTTCACACATCATAATATTTTTTTAAAACACAATGAACTTTTTAAAATACATGATTAACATTTATTAATACATGGTCAACATTTTTAGTATACAATCAACACTATGAAAATACACACTAAATATTTTCTAAATACTCAATGCATTCTTTTATACATGATAACCATTTTATAATGCTAGCACAATACTCATGCATTGCAACAGAACTATAAAATACGAGGAATTAGCTCACTGTTCATGTGTTTCGGGCTGGGGCGGGCTCGGGTTTGAGATTTTGGAGTAGGGCTCGACAAAGTCCGGTGCAACGAATTCCCAGGTTTAGTCTTAATGATCTTGAAAATGTTTAGACTATACAAGTCGGATGTTCTACCAAAAACCGAGATCATCAATTGCGGGGTTTTCCCCGGAGAAAATGGAGTTTTATTCAAGATTTATAGAGTTATAATCACGAAGCACTAGATCATCATTACAAAGTGGGATATGTTTAAGCCACACCACTGTGATACTTTTTGTGCGACTATATTTTTGCGAAATGATGTGCTATTCTAGTAGTAACAAACGCAGGTTACTACTAGTACACCATTCACCTAAGCTGGGTAATGGCACAAAAAAAGTATACCGAATATAATATGCCAACTAGATAAGTATGGTAGACAACCTCTTGAGGTAGAACTCCTAACTATGGAGGCGAAGATATCACTTGCGCATCCACAGGCAGTGACAGGTCAATCTCAAACGAGTCACTTTGCATTCACCTCTCTCATATTTTATTTCTTAGATCCAAACAAAGCATACAAAAGAAATCTTACCTACTACTACCCTAGTCACTCTTCGTTATCGGAGAAGTCCACGACAACGGTGTCGGGCGCCGACTGGATGGGCGGGTAGGAGGGCTCCGGCTCATCCTCCTCCTACTCGACTTCATCTATGTAGGCGAGCATCTCCGCCTCCTCTGTGGCCTGTTGCGCCTCCATCTCCTGCCGACGATGGCGTCTGGCCTACGCAGCTAACTCCGACAGAAGGGAATCGAGTATGGCATGCTGCTCCGCCTGCAGATCCCCATCGCCAGTGTCCCCCACATCCTCCTCCTCCTCCTCCTCCTCCTCCTCCCCCACCTCCTCCTCCTTCTCCTCCTCCAACTCCTCCTCGGGATCCACTGCATCTGGAGGTAGCCCCGTGGCGATCCGGACTTCGCGCCTAGCCCGGATTTGCTCAAGGAGCTCGACCCGGCGCTTCGGCGTCAGAAATGGCTGGCTCCTCACCCAGCGGCGTGGGGGCATGGCTACTAGGCGGACGGGTGGAGTGGAAAGTGGCGGCGGTGACGGACAGAAGGAGGAAAATGTGGATGGATGATAGGGTTTTAGGTGCCGCCGGTCGACTTAAATAGCTGGGCTAGGCACTATGCGGCCCGTCGGAGCTGCGCCACGTGGCGCTACCGGTCCGACGGAGGAGACGAGTTTCAGACCGCCTGGTTTCAGGGTGTTTTTGACTGGGACCCCTTCGTCGGTCCGATGTGGCGGGCATGCCCGGGCGCCCTCATATCCGCCTCATATTTAAGCTGGATATGAGGGGTGTCGGTCAGTCAGGGTGTTTGAGGCCGTTTAAGGTGTTCGTCTCGATAAAAAAATATGACCGGTCAGTGACCGGGTGATCCGTTCGGACGTTTGAGGAGGGTTTGAGGCGCCCGGCTGTAGAGGCTCTTACAAACAGATCGTAGTAGGTTGTTATTACATGATCTCAAGGATACAATAATCATTTTATTTTTTTAGGTGAATACAATAACCATTCTTCAAACAGAAGCCAGCCAGCGCGCACACACCGGTCAGTGGCGTGATGTGTGCGTGCGTGCGTCAGTGCCGACGCAGGCAGGATGTCGTCCTTTGAAAAGAACAACGTAAACATTGATTACAAGCAACATATTTTTTGAGCTCCATCGAGCTTGACAGTGAAAAAAAGAGTTTTGCTACTCAGTTAGCTAAGTTTTAGTTATGTCTCATTTACATGTGATGTGACCATCCGGTTACAATGCCTTCGGTTTTTTTTTTAATCTGATTGTTTGTTGTCATAGGCTTGTCCAGCGACTCAGGCTGCCTGTTTATCTACAATTTGTTTGTCGCTTGGATGTTGCCATGTTGGACTGGAATATTTTTTCCTTGCAAAAAAAAAGTGTATGTCTTTTTTTGTCTGCAGGACGAGCTGTTTTAGTTGTTGCTTCCTCCCATCCTCTCTCATTTCCTTTTTGAAAACGGCGATTTATTTTACTTTTGTTTATTTTTATTTATTTTTTCAAGAAAAACTTTCGGTATATTTATCAACTGTCAAGGTAGTACAAAGAACATCAGAAGTAAAAAATACATGCAGGTCCGTAGACCATCTAGCGACGACTACAAGCACTGGAGGGGGTCGTCGCCGTCTCGTCATCCTGAGCAGGACATAAACCCTCACAAAACTTGAAGGACCATCTAAAAACGGATCCCTCCCGCCGGTAAGGGCCGGATCCACCGTGTTGCCATGGCCCTAAGGCCACCGAAGACGAGGCGGAACGACACCGACGCGGGTGGGAGGCAGAGAAACCCTAGGCTTTTGGGGGGAGGAGGCTTGGCTCCTACAAATTAATCATTGCAGACACATCACAATCATTTACCTATAGCTCAATTGGCTCGATCAACTCACGCGGAACACTTTGGACTCGGGGACTTTTTTGTGCCGTCTAAGGATATATAATTCTTACTTAGATGAGATTTAGTTTTGTTACATACCGAACTAGTTTCAAATTTGGGTCGTAAGAACATGTTTACAAAGAGAGTTTACAACTGCAAGTTCTTAACTGAGGCAACTGCAAGTTTTCAAGTCGGATTGTTGTGGAGTTGCATGTCTACCACTAGACATGTAACTGGAAGCGTTGTAGACTGCAACTGGGGCATAAGGGATTGTTGGACCAGTTGCATGTTCACCACTAGACACGAAAATGTAAGTGTTGTAATGCATCCGCAACATGTATGGCCACTGCGACCTCAACTGGGGACTAGGGGGGGGGGGTTGTTCGACCAGTTGCATGTCCAACACTAGACATGCAACTGAAGATGTTGTAACCTGACTATAATTGCATTGACTACGATGTGACTGTGACTAGGGCGGGAGGGGATTGTCTGACCAGTTGCAAGCCCACCACTAGACACGCAACTGTAAATGTTGTAACAATCGCAACTTGTATAGCTACAATGCGACTTCAACTAGGGACTAGAAGGGTTGTTGGGCCAGTTGCATGTCCACCACAGACATGCAACTGTAGGCATTGTAACCCGACTACAACTACGCGGTCACAATGCGACTGTAATTAGGGTGGTAATGGCATGTCCACCACTAGACATGCCACTCCAAGCGTTGTAACCCGATATCAACTGCATGGGCACAAAGCGACTGTAACTGGGATAGGGAGGGGGCTGTCAATCAGTTGCATGTCCATCACTACACATGCAAGCGTTGTAATCCAACTGCCACTGCATGGGGCATAAAGTGACTACAACTGGTGTCTGGAAGGGATTGTCGAGTTTCGTTGCATGTTGACCACTAGATATGCAACTGCAAGCGTTCTAAATTGGCTATAACTACATGGATGTAAAAAAGACCACAACTTGCATGCCCGTCATTAGACATACAACCGTCATTGTTGTAACCTGGTTGCAACTACATGGACACAAAGGGATTGCAACTGTCACTTTTTAAATGGAGTCACAACTTCATATTTTCAAGGGGGGACGCAACCGCAATTTGCAAACGGGGTCGCAACCACAAGTTTTCAAATGGGTTCGCAACTGCCTTTTTTTTCAAGATTCGCAACTACAAGATTTCAAATGGAGATCGCAATTGCATGTTTAAAAGGGGTCGCAACTGTAAACTTCAAAATGGGATTGCAACTCTAGATTTTCAATG